CCCACTTGACATGCAAGAACAGTTCCCAAGGATGATGCTCAAGGTGGGTGAGGGCAGGGTGCCTATAATGACCTCAGATGCCAAATTAGTACCGTCTCCTTCCTCCAAGATTCCAGGGAGGGGAGGTGGTGGTTTGCAGAGGTGAGGCGGGGAAAGGGCGTAAAATGCCCTACTTCCCGTAAAGCTTCTGAACTCACGCTAAGTGATTTTACATGGAAAAAAAGCTCACTGCTCTAGAGTACAAATGAGTGCTTCGTTCACTTCCCATGCACTCACTAAGGTATGGTGTATTCATTGCATCATTTGAAACAATTCAACTGTAATTCTTTCACTCCCTCCCATGTCTTCTGGCTTCTCTTTTGTTCAGTGACTTTCTTTAATAGCTGACTAAACCAGCTGGTGGCTTCTAGTCAGCAAACTTGACACTATAGGGGAAAATAATCTCTGTGTTTCAAGGAATCACTGTCAACAGATGCTCTAAGCTACTTCGGTAAACTCATTCAGGACTGTTTTGCAATACAATATTAGAGAAACACAATAACTCATTCACTGTGGGCATATCATTAAGTTTTCAGGCGTGGGAGGTATCAAATTCCTCAACTTTGAAAAACTACAGTAGTTAAAGGACATTTTAGGTGAAGAGGAGCTATTGTGCAATTGAAAAGGCATAGGCCTGAGAGTCACAGACAGCTTGGGCTCCTACACCAGCCCTCTGAGCCTCCATTCCTTCTATGGGAAGGATAATTGATGTTGTCCTGGCACTTTAGCTCTTCAGGGGCAGGGGGTGGGGGCTGGAGAGGAGCTCTGATTTGTAGCATTTGCCCATTTCTGGATATAAATGTTTCCCACCCCCCCCCCAACCCACCCCCACTCACTGATTTAGAGCTACCAACGTGAAGTCACTGAACAGAGTTGGGAGGTGGTGTGAGAACCAGGATAAGCTGACTCCAGCACACCACACCTGATGCTGTAGTCGGTACATTACCTGTGGGGACATTGGGAACTGAAAGTATATGATACTTGCTAAAGATTTTAAATAAGATGACATGGAAGTGGACTGCACACTGCCTGGCTCAGACAATGCCTGCTCCTTCCTCCTGCTTCCATTCCCCATCCATTCCTCCCAGAATCACAACTCCTATCTTGGACATTTCATTGAAATGCATGCTTTAAAGCAACTTCTCTATGCATTTCATTTCCAAATTGATGTCTAGCCCTGACTGCTTTGCTGAGCTGCAAACTCCAAACTGCTATGGGACACTTAGGCTGGGTGATGAAAACGGAAACATACCTCTCTTTCTCTGACTTTCCCTAACTTGCTTGGTACTGACAACAACAATATCACAGTTACGGAGTCCTTATCATGTGCCTGCACTGTTCTAAGCTTTCACATGTACCACTTTAATCCTTACCAAGTGACATGTGTGTTAAGCATCCCCATGTTACAGATGAAGAAACTGAACACAGAGAGGTTAAATAATCTTCAGTGAATCATACAGTCAATGAATAGAAGGCTGGGATTCAAAATGAGGCAATCAGGCTTTTGAGCTCTTTACTTACCATGTTCTTAACTCCTTCGGTTAACTATTACTTCTATACTACCACCATGAATATGTTAATTAGCATTACCTACATTGCCTATCTTCTAAGGCAGTGGTTCTCAACCTTCTGGCCCTTTAAACACAGTTCCTCATGTTGTGACCTTCATAACTGTAATGTTGCTACTGTTATGAATCATAATGTAAATATCTGATATGCAGGATGGTCTTAGGCGACCCCTGTGAAAGGGTCGTTCGACCGCCAAAGGGGTCGTGACCCACAGGTTGAGAACTGCTGTTCTAAGGTCTTTTGTGTATTAATTTATTAATTTGTTTAATCATCAAAACCCCTATTTGGTAGGGTGTTTTATTTTTATTTTTTTTATTTTTATTTTTTATAAATCCCCATTTTATGAAGGAAACTGAGGAACTGAGAGGTTAGGTAAGTTACCCAAGATTGCACAGATGAGGAAGTGGGGGTGTTGAGGCTGGAACCCAGGGAGGTCTAGCCTCAGAGTCCACAGACTTAACCATCACTCACTCTACCGCCTCACACACCGAAGTCACTCAAGCCAAACAGTAAGAAGCTGGATTTGGTCATAATCCACCATGTTTACTTCATTAATAATCTTGGATGCAGTGCTGCTTGCCAGGCACTATTCTAAGCACTTCACAAACGTTTAAGGGGAGAGAGAAGATCCAGTGGTTCTCAACCTTCTGGCCCTTTAACTACAGTTCCTCATGTTGTGACCCAACCATAAAATTATTTTCGTTGCTACTTCATAACTGTAATGTTGCTACTGTTATGAATCGTAATGTAAATATCTGATATGCAGGATGGTCTTAGGCGACCCCTGTGAAAGGGTCGTTCGACCGCCAAAGGGGTCACGGCCCACAGGTTGAGAACCGCTGCCTTACAGGGTGGGAGCTAAGAATTCAAAGCCAATAGTTGGAGGGAAATATCCCTAGGGAAATACTCAGGACAATCACAGGTAGAGGTGATGATGATTAACAATAACAGTAAAATACCAGCTACCATGAACTGAGCACTTACTATACACAGCCAAGTGCCAGCATATTACAAGAATTCTCTCTTTCAATGCCACAACAACCTTAAGAGTTAGGTAATATTTCATCCCCTTTGTTTTCCAGAGGAGGGAACCAGGTTAAGAAAGGGTAAGTCAGTTGCCCAGCTGGCAAAGAGAATCAGGGCCAGAATCAGACCCAAGTCTGGGCCTTTCTCCTCTCTGCACAGTGCCCATGCAAGCAGACAGGGGTCCCTTGGCTGGGGGTGGGAGGTTTTGAATTTGAGACTGAGTTTGTTCTTAATGCAGGAGATCCGTGGGCAGCAGCGAGTTAAGTTGTTTGAGAGGATACTAGGTAAAATCGAACAACCTTAAATTGCATGTGCAAAAACAATACTTTCCATTTACTTGGCTCCCCCCCCCCCCCACATGCCAGGCATTATTCTTGGAACTTAGAACAATTCTCAGAAGCAGATATTTGTACTTTCATTTGATGGACATGGAAACTGAAGCCCAGGGAAGCTGGGAGACCTGCCCAAGGTTCAAGTAACTGGCAGAACCGGAGTGGCACACCTGGGAGGCTCCCCATGCTGTGCCCGGCCCAGCTCGCCCACTCTGCTTTGGCAGGCGGATCAACAATGACTGCACCCACACTGCACAAATGGCCAGTGAATGTACTAGACCTCCATGCTCTGAGCAGACAACTGACATATCACATCACAATCTTCACCAAGATTCAGCCTAATGTGCGAACAGAGAATAGCTTTGCCCAGGAATGTTCCAAGGAGCTCTTTCCCCAAGATGTTCCATGGAAAAGTTCTATGATCAGAAAAGTTTGAAAGTGCTGCCTGTTATCCCTCCCCTGCCTTGGAGACTTAAAGTGCACATCAGCAGATTCAAAAGGTTCTGCAATTTTTAAAAAAAAAAAAACCATTTCCTTCACTTAAGCTAAGGTTTCCCCAATTTATTTGAACCACAGAATTGTTTTTCTATGTGTGTCATTTAATACATGGGGCAGAGCCCTTTTAGAGATACTACGATAAGGACTGAAGAGGCAGAAAGAGAAGTGGGTTAGACCTACTTTTGGATACAGTAACTAAAATGCAGACTCTTTTTTTTCTTCTTAAGAATTATCCAATCTGGGCCTGGCTGGTATAGCTCAGTGGTTGAGCATCTACCCATGTTCCAAGAGGTCCCAGGTTCAATTCCCAGTCAGGGCACATGCCCAGGTTTTGGGGGTGGGGGTGGCGGGGTGGGTGGGGAGACAGCCAATCAATGTTAGTGTTTCTATCTCTCCCTTTCCCTTTCTCTCTAAAATCAATATAAACATGCCCTGACTGGTTTGGCTCAGTGGATAGAGCGTTGGCCTGCGGACTGGAGGGTCCCAGGTTCGATTCCGGTCGGGGGCATGTGCCTTGGTTGCGGGCACATCCCCAGTAGGAGGGTGTGCAAGAGGCAGCTGATCCCTCCCCCTTCCTCTCTGTAAAAAGTCGGTGAAATATATTTCTCCCTTTCCCTTTCTCTCTAAAATCAATATAAACATGAAAAAAAGTATTATCAAATTGTTTGTTTACATCTAGTTTGCTTTCTACCGAGAAAACAAACAGCTAAAAATAACATTAGTCTCAATAAATTTTTGTTTTGATACTCAAAAATAAAAAAATCAGAAGCAATAAATCAGAAGGGATGGGCTATCTGCATACCCCAATCTCTTGGCTCCTGCGAAGCCTTCTGCCTCCACCCTAACCCCATTCCATTCTCCAAGTCTCCACCCATCCTCCCCATTTGGGGGGCTGCTCTCCAGCTAACATACCGGAAGTGAACACACCTTGCAATCACCACGTCCCCCACCCCAGCCCTTACAGGGGTGCAGAAGCAGCGACAGGGAGGCATCAGGCAGAGCCTCTGCCCACACCACAGCCCGGGCTGGCAGATCCCAGAGAAGCTGAAGGCTATCTGATAGCACACCGCTCCGCCTTTGGGTTAGGCTATCTGACAGAACAATCTCTCTGCCTTTGGGGAAGGCGGGAGTGCTCCAAGGACATTCCTACAGGGAGGGAAACGGTGGCCAACATTCCTCTAAAATTGCTAGATTATGAATGCGTGCTGATATTTTCCCAATTCTCTTTTTGCTTATTTTCGGTTTCCAATTTTCTACAATGAGCAGGCAGCACTGCCTGTTAAAAAAGGAGGAGGAGGGGCAAGAGGGGGAGAGAGAGGGAGGGGAGGCACGGAGTTTTGAAACAGGAGGGGAAACAACATGGCACTATCTGCAGAGAGAGAGGCTCATAAGCTCCGCTAATGAAACAGACCGGTATCTGCACCTGCGGGGAGCAGGCCTGCCCTGCAATGGCCCTCTTTGCAGCCACCTTCCCAGGGAGCCCTCCGCCCAGCAACCCTCCGCCTGCAGGCGCGCCCCGCCCCGCCCCCTCCTTACCCACGCGGAAGATGAGGTCGTCCTCGATGGGGTTCTCTTTTCTCTTCCCGGTGCTGTACATGCTCGCGGGTCGCTTCACAGCCTTCTGCTTGACGTGGCCGCTCCCCGGGGATTTCACGCGCTTCTTCACGCCCTCGGTGGTGGGCGACACGTCCGCCGACCGGATCACCTTCAGCTTGAAGGGGCTGCCGCGGATGTGCTGGTCGTAGAGCCTCAGCGAGAGCGTGAAGTCCCCTTCCTTCTGCACGGTGTACAGGAACTCGTACGTGCCGTTCTTGTTGTCGAGGATTTCTCCGTCGGCCACGCTGCCGTCGGGCGTGCTCAGCTCCGCCGTGAGGTAGGCATTGCCGGTTTTGCAGAGCTCCCCGTCCTTGTCCTTGGTCGTGATGGTCACGGACATGGGCTGCCCAATGATGGTCTGCCGCAGCCCCTCGCCCGTGGCCACCGTCTCGGAGGCGACGGCGTTGGTGGTGAGGATGGTCCCGAGGTTGTGGATGGACTTCTTGAGCCCCTCGGTCTCGACGATGAAGTCCAGCTGGTCGTTCTCCCGCGGGTGCAGCGGGAAGTCCTGGTCGGCCAGTTCGTTCAGCTTCTCGCTCATCTGCTTCTTCACCAGCAGCACCTCCGTCTCCGTGCCGTGGTTGAGGGCCTGCGCCGTGAAGTTGCTGCAGCTCTTAATGCTCTCCTGCCCCTCGAGCAGGGTATCCAGCTGCGACTGGAGCACCTGCAGGCAAAGCGCGCAGGATGAGTGCTCCCCACAGCACTGGAGCTCAACCCCGAGGACGCGGTGCAGTGCGCACTGGGGCCGGGCCTCTCTGGGCCAGAACCCGGTCCTGCACCTGCCCACGCCCGCCCGTGGCTCCCAGCAAGGGGTGTCTACTTTCACTCACTGAACCCGGTGCTAATGCGCCGTCCTACACTGCATTCCCAGGGCCTTCTCTTTCCGTTCCGCCTCGCCCTGCTTCTCCCACACACATATTTCTTGGGTCACGTGTTTTTGATGGGACCGTCACCACCCAGAGCTTAGCCAACAGATGACCACGCTTGACATCTGAAATGTTCATTGTTCCGTATCTTCCCTTCATGTCCAAAGCTCCCCTGTCACCTCTTAAAGGAACAGAAGCGGAGGAATGAAAACGCATTCCCCGCTTGAATCTCAGAAGCTCTTCGTACTGGGCTTTGTGATCCACCTGCAGAGTCAAACAAAGGCTGCAGGCAGGGCTCGCTTTGAAGTTGACTAACAGGTCGGTGTGGGCGAGAGAGCAATTAAGAGACTATTAGACATTCTAATTAAGGAAGGAAAACAATCTGGTTTAACCCTAAATCCTGAACGCATTACTTCATACTCAACCTTGCCTGGTGTCAAATTATAAATTGGGGCTTAATGTCACAGATTTAGAGTTTTGCTGAAAACAGGAAGGAGAAAAAAAGCTGGATATGCCATTAAATGAAAACTACACCTAAGGACCCATTGGAGCCCCCTTTGCCGCTAGGAGAAGGCAGGAAGCCAGTGCCATGAAGCGCCCCAGACATCACGTCTCTTCCAGGATATGGGTAAGGACAGCTGGAGTCTTACTTTGTGTTTGAGGCCATAGTTGACCTCCAGCTCCATAAGCAGCACACTCTTGCGCACATTTAAAGTTTTCTGGAGCTCATCAAAGGTGGAATGGATGTCATCCACGATGCTGGCCTTCTGGTTGGTTAACTGGTGAATGATTTCCGAGATGAACTGAAGAGCAGAATCTATTTCTGGGAGCCTAGAGGAACAGTTGTTAAAGATCATGATTATTTAACATCAACCTAGAAATAGTAAAAGCAACAACTGTATTTTGTCAAGAAACATTTGGTGTGCCTCTCATCGTCTTTAAGAAGTAATAACTGAAGAACAGAACGAATAAGACATAATTACAGCCTTTGAAAGAGACTTTGATGGTCCATGTTTATTTCAATCTACCACAGTCAAATACTTTTTAAAAAACGTATATTTTGATTGATTTCAGAGAGGGAGAGAGACAGAGACAGATACATCAATGATGAGAGAGAATCATTGATTGGTGCCTCCTGCATGCCCCACAATGGGGACTGAGCCTGCAACCTGGGCATGTGCCCTGATGGGGAATCGAACCCTGACCTCCTGGTTCTTAGGTCAATGCTCAACCATGCCATCTGGGCCAGTCATCTACTTTTAATAATGGGTGATACTTTGAAGCTCTCTGGATCCCATCTTTTCCTCACACTCTAAACCAGGTTTTCTCAATCTTGACTGTTTATATTTTGGGCCAGAGAATTTTTTGTTACAAGGACTGTGCTGTGCATTACAGATGTTTAACAGCATCCTGTCCTCTACCAGATGCCAATAGCACCACCCCTCCCCACACACACATAGTTGTGACACTAAATTGTGTCCATACATTGCTAAATGTCCCTGGGGTGTGTGTGTGCGCGCGCGTGCGTGCGCATAATTATTCATGGCTGAGAACCACTGTTCTAAACATATAGCTGGATCTTTTTTCTCAGTCACATGAAAAACTTATCCAAACTCAGAGTTCCCTGGGATCTTCTTGCAAGTTTCCAAGTTCTTTTAATTAGTATAGATTAACCACACTTTTTTCAGTACAACTGTTGCTGAAGAGATTTTCTTTCAGCTGGCTATTTATTTCCTCTCTTTGTTCTTTCTCATGCATCACACAGCTACTCTGTTCCTTCGATTCCATGCCAAAAAAAAGGGGGGTGCCTGAACACAGGGAAACATAAAGAAAATGGAGCAATCACCGCTCAGTACCATTTTGCTGGGCTACAGCAGAGAGCAGCCAGTCACAGGCAACACAATGGGCCTGTAAGTGTGTCAAGAACAGCAGATAAGAAAGGCTCTTCAGAGAGCCTGGTTTCATGCTCGAATTTTAGAGATCCCTGAGACCACTTTCCCCAAGTATATTTTATTCATAATCACACTAAGGCACTAAAACAAAAATGCCACCACTCATAACATCAGGGGGAATTTTACCAAGGGCGAGGGGGTGACTCTCCACTCACTAGTTTGTGACTACAGACCCACGATCAAAGAATTTGTTTAGGTGACATGCACCTACCATCCCCCTGAGACAAGAGACCCTGAGGCCAAGCCTGACCCCAGCGGCCAGTTGGGAGCCTGGGGGAGATGTGCGTACCTTTTGTTGACAGCGTCCAACTGGACCTGGAGTGAGGCCTTGTGCTGCTCCACCACGTCCTTGAGGGGCACGGTGGGGTGTTCCGCGTGCTCCCCCTCAGTGCACTCCCGACACATGGCAGTCTCACAAGACTGGCAGTAAAAGTCCATCACCTGCGGGTGACACAAGAACAATTCCAGGACCGGTGCCGCTGACGAAGGGCTTACCAGGCGTTCTCCCAGTTCAGTCTCACAGGCTCCCCAGGATGTCAGTAATATTAAGTCCAGCTTCACGGGAGGAAAGGGAGGGTAAGCTTTTCTGTGCCACGTCTCAAACCGAGGGGATCGGACTCCAAAGCCACTGCTCTGGTCACAAAACCAGCTTTTCTGTGACCACCCTGCTATGCAGAACAGGGGGGGGGGGGAGGGGGCTGTGGCGCTCGAACCTTTGGTCTCAGGGCCCCTTTACACCCTTTATAAATTATCGGGGACTGCAAAGTGCTGTAGTTTATGTGAGTTATATCTATAGATAGCTATCACTTTAATATTGAAACAGAAAAAGGTTAACTATTTACTTATTAAAAGCCATGATAAGCCTGTTAAATAGTAACATGAATAATATAATTTATAAAAAGTAACTATATTTTGTAAGACAAAAAGCTACGAGAAGAATGGCATTCATCTCTCTCTGTCCCTTCCTCTCCCTTCCACTCTTCCTAAGAATCAATGAGGAGGTGGGGACAAACAATGGAAAAATATCCTCAGGTGAGGATTAACAAACAAAAAAAGAATGGCATTCACCTGAAACCTATATAATTTTATTAACCAATGTCACCCCAGTAAATTAAAAAATAAATAAAGTGTGTCCCCAGGAAAATAAAATAAACTACTACAGTCCTTGTACAATTTCATCCAAATTCTTTAGAATTGTATCACTTGCTGATAAAAGGCAAGTCAATGGAACAACAGGTTATTAACCAGAAAACAGATCCGCTATTCATCAACCATTGCCATGCCAAGGAGGGTGGAGTCATATGATACTTGCACTGTCCCATCCAGGGGATGTGAGCAGGGCAGACACTGAAGCCCAAATAGCACAGAATTGTATAGATGGTTACCGCCAGAGATGCAGAGTTGCTGAAAGAATACATAGCAAAGCAGGTGTGGTAGCCTGAACAATGGCCCCCAAAGGTGTCCACCTCCTAATCCCGGAACCTGTTAATGGGTTTCTTATATGGCAAAATGGACTTGCAGATGTGAATTAAGTTAAGGATATGGAGATGGGACGATTATGCTGGTTATCCAGGTGGGCCCGATGTAATCACAAGAGCCCTTGTAAGAGGGAGGACGAGACAACAGAAACACAAGAGATTGGAGTGATTCGAGGAACAGGTCACAAGCTAAGGGAATGCAGGCAGCCTCTAGAAGCTAAAATGCAGGAAAATCGTTTCTCTATTGAAGCCTGAAGCCTCAGACGGAACACAGCCCTAACTACATTTTGATTTTAGACTTCTGAACTCCCGAACTGTAAGAGAATAAATTTGTGTTGTTTTAAGTCACACACACACACACACACACACACACGACATTGTTTTCCATTTTTGTAAATCCCTTCAGTGTCTGGCTTAATAGAAAAAGCTGGGTTCGCATATCTGCTTCTGCATTCAATCTGTTTTGATAGCAGACATCGTATAGTCTGGAAAATACCAACATACACTGAGAAAATGAGAGTGGAAAAGGCAAATAATGTCTTAATATTATATAAATACAGTTTTGACCTCGTGGACACCCCTGAAGGGTCTTGGGACCCCTGAGGATGCCTGGACCACACTGAGAACTGCTGCTCTTTGGAGAAGAGGTGAGCTGGACTGAGCTGTTTGCATCCTGGCTTCACCATGTATGTCAGTTCACTGTGTCTCAGTGTTATCCTCTGTTAAATGGAGACAATAGTAACCTAATTCATAGGGGTGCTGTGAGGAGTCAGTAGATGGATATGCACAAAGAAGTCAGATCTTGCCTGGCACTGGCACATAGTAAGTTCTTAATAATGATGTCATCTGCTTACCTGAAAATAAAACTACCTTATCCTAATTGTTATGAATCTCAGTAGCAGTATAACATAAAGCCTGAAAGTTAGAGTCCCCTTATTCTCTCAGCTGAAAATATTTTCTTCCAATTGGGGGGGGGGGGTGGAGGGGATCTTCTTGAAGTATAACACACATACAGAAAATGGCCTAAGTCCCAAGACATATGGATGGATTTTCACAAACTGAATGCACCCACCAAACTAAAAAGCTTCTGCACAGCAAAAGAAACCACCATCCAAACGAAAAGGGATCCCACTGTATGGAAGAACATATTTGCCAATGATACATCTGATAAGGGGTTCATTTCCAAAATATATAAAGAATTCATACAGCTCAACAAAAAGAAGACTAATAACCCAATTTAAAAATGGGCACAGACCCTGAATAGGCACTTCTCCAAAGAGGACATACAGATGGCCAATAGACATATGAAAAAATGCTCAGCATCACGGATCATCAGAGAGATGAAAATTAAAACTGCAATGAGGTATTACTTCACACCTGTCAGAATGGCTACCATCAACAAATCAACAAATGACAAGTGCTGTCGAGGATGTGGAGGAAAGGTAACCCTAGTACACTGCTGGTGGGAATGCAGACTGGTGCAGCCACTAGGAAAACAGTATGGAATTTCCTCAAAAAATTAAAAATAGAACTACCATTTGACCCAGCAATCCCACTTCTAGGAATATATCATAAGAAGCCCCAAACACCAACTAGAATAAATGCACCCTTATGCTCATAGTGGCATTATTTACAATAGCTAAGATTTGGAAACAGCCCAAGTGCCCATCAGCAGATGAGTGGATAAAAAGCTGTGGTACATGTACACAATCAGATACTATGCAGCTGTAAAAAAGAAGGATTTCTTACCCTTTGTGACAGCCTGGATGGACCTGGAAAATACTATGCTGAGTGAAATAAGCCAGTCAGAGAAAGAGAAATATCACATGATCTCACTCATATGTGGAATCTAATAAACATAATAAACTGATGAACAACAGGTCCAGAGGCATGAATTCAGGGAACAGACTGATATATCTCAAAGGGGAAGCCAGGGGAGATGGGAAGAGATTAACCAAAGAATTTATGTACATATATGCATAGCCAATGGATACAAACAATAGAGTGGTGAAGGCCTAGGGTGGGCCAGGGCTGGGAGGAGGGGGAGAAAAGGGGGGAAGTTGGGGGACATTTGTAATACTGTCAACAATAAAAAAAATAAATAAAATTTTAAAAAGGAATAAAGTTCTGATATATGCTACAATATAGATGAATCTTGAGACATTACACGTGCTAGAAGCCAGACTAAAAAAAGCTACATATTATATGTACCCATTTATATCAAGTGTCCATATGGACAAATCCAGAGAGAGATAGAACACAGACTGATGGTGACCAGGGGTTAGGGGCTGGTGGTGGGGTGGCGGGGAGGGGGGTTAATAACTGGTACTTAATGGGTATTGAGTTTCTTTTTGGGATAACAAAAAAGATCTGGAATTAGTGGTGATGTTTGCACAACCTTTTTGAATATACTAAAAGCCACTGAATTATACACTTTAAAATGGTTAAAATGTGAATTTTGTGTGTGAATTTTACCTCAATTAAAAAAATGTTTGATTGCTTTGAAGACCTGGGTTACTTCCCTGATTCAGTATCCTCAGTGTTTCTTGGGAAGCAAATCATTCTGAAGTGTCAACAACTGGTCATTCTCAAATGCCTGTGCTTGGGCTCTGACAGCTTTGACTCAGGCTGAGTTAATTGTGGGAGGTGTGAGACTCGGCTGAGCTCATCCATCCTGAGTGCCATGATGCTGGTGCTCCAGGGGTGGGTGGGCCAGAGGCCAGGATGAGCTTACTGCTGTTGACATACAGTCACCATTTGTGTTCATCAGAAGAGAAGATGAGGGGCCACTCGCATTACTAACTGCTGGAATGTGCTCAGGGCGATGCAGCCAGCCCGGAGGCTTCTGGCAGTGGGGACTTGTTACTGGCCAGGCATGAGGATCCCTCCTTTGCACCTCTTAACATTCTTGCTAGCATGGCCTAAGCAAGCAAAAATAGGGTTTCATGATCGTCCGATCATTTGTGTTCTAGGACTGCAAGGCATGAGCTCAAGTGTCTGCTTTATGGGCAAGGAACCTCTGAAATCACTGACCGCCAGCCCCATTTTTCTTTGTATTTGGACAATGCCGCCACAGCAGTTTAATTAGAAGACAGATTGTGTCACAGCACTTAAAGTAAATGACAGGCTTTCATCCACATGTGCTGATCGGCACCAGGCAGTTTATGACAGCAACATCCTGCTTTATTGTTAATTACCGGATTTTATTAACCTTCAGACGCTTGAGATGTTTTTAAAGATTTACCCACGGCAGTTAACTGCAGCAATTTATCTGTAGTATCGCCTGCATTTGGCTTGAACATGCCATGAGGCCCCGTTTCAAAGCAGCAGCAGCGAACTCCTACAGTCCACAATGAAACAACAGAATGAGTGAAGACACGCAGCTGATTTTCCAAGGCCTCTGGCTGGTTTATAAATCTTATGATTCCCGAGGAATGATAATGACCCAGCATTGAGGAAGCGCTCAAAACATACTTTAAAGAGCTTCCTTACTCTGAGGGTCCGGCTCTTTAGACAGATTTCATCTTTAGTGTGATTTGATGTGATGCATTTGGTAGAAAGTAAAGTTTTAGCCTAAAAGGATTCTTTCATTTTGCTGAAATTAGCACCTCTGAGAGAGTTTCTGCTTAGCAGCCTGTGGCAACCAAGGTCTCTACTGCGAGGCCTGCTCAGGAAATACATCTTTAGGAATTCTTTCCTATTTGTCCTTCAGGCACTAACAACATATTTCTCTTTCCAAAGTTTCTCTAAGATTGATAGTGCCATTTTGTAAAAAGTTCAGAGTAATTTTAAAGTCTACCTCTGGCCCAGCTGGCGTGGCTCAGTGGTTGAGCACTGACCTATGAACCAGGTCACAGTTCGATTCCCAGTCAGGGCACATGGCATGAGTTGCTGGCTTGATCCCCAGTGTGGGGTGTGCAGGAGGCAGCCAATTGATGATTGTCTTTCATCATTGATGTTTCTATCTCTCTCCCTCCCCCTTCCTCTCTGAAATCAATAAAAATAAAAAAAGAGTCAACCTCTGTTTCTGTTGGTTGCACCACTGCTGACACAGGCACCCAAGCTAGACACCTGGGAGTCATGCTGACCTCACCAATCCACCCAGCTGATCAACTCTTGCACAGCCCACTTCTCCGATCTTTTCTTAAAATATATTTTTCATTTTTTTATATAAAAAGAGGTAATCCACCATGTACCTCTTACTTTGGTTCCCAAAAAGCTCAGGGTGCTCTTTCCTCCAGGTCTAGCTTTTATGTCAAATGGACTTGTGACTGAAACTGTTCAAATCTGTTTCTTCATCTATACAACGAAGGTAGCTAACACCTACTTTGCAAAGTGGTGTGTAAGAGACCAAGCACAGTGTCTGGCACAATCGTTCAACAAATAGGTACTGATTAACTTCGGAGAAACTAAATATGCAAATGGACAATGGTCAGACCATGTATAAAAATAGACCTCTGACTCACAACCTGCCCAGGACACTGACTCCATATCTATAATAAACGGCCCGGGAAATCAGCCTGCTATAAGTCAGATTTGCAGGAAGTCCAACTGCTATCTCTAGTAACAATCCAAAAAGCTCAACAAAAACTTTGGTAACAATTGGCCCCAAATGGCTGGACTTGATTACTGATAACTTCCCTAATTTTTGTCTCTACTCCCAACTTAGGACCAATCAGAGAAAGCCAGATATGAACCCCTAACCAATCACATAGGTGCCCCCTTCTAGTTGGCCCACCTCTAGCTTCCCCATGCCAATGGCCTCACATCAGGGTACACCTGAAGCCTTGCCTTTTCCCATGACTGAGTGTTCCCACTCCTCTGCCTGACTTTGAATCCCTGCCAAAACACAAGTGATGGTGGCCGACTCCTTGTTTGAGCAAATTCGGAATGCATAGCCTTTGCTTGTTTTCATCGGGTTGGTCTCCGATGATTTCCATACTTTTATGTATAAGATACTGTTCTCAGTGCTAGAGGTATGATGGTGAGCCTGGTCCCTGCCCTCCTGCAGCTCACTTCCTAAAAGTGAGCTCAGCAAATGCACAGATGAGGGCAGGCAGAGCGTGGTGAATGCCATGAAGGAAATCAAGAAGTGATGTGATGGATGGCAACTGGGTGTCAGAGGTGGAGCCGTAGTGCAGTTGGAGAAGACTGCTCTGTGTAGGAGAAATGTGAGCTGACGCATGAAGGGTGAGAATGAGCTAGCCACATCCAGAGAGAGCAAAAACCATTCCAGGCATAAGAAAGAGAAAGCAGCCAGGCCCCAAGGTGGGAAACCACTTGGCAAGTTCTAGGCCAGTGAGGCTGTAGCAATAATGAGCAGAGAGAGTGGAACAAGATAAGGCAAATAAACACTAGTTATGGCTAATAATAAGTGCTTTGCTCAAGCAATCTCTTGTTGCTTTAGTGGTTTTATTATACCTGAGCCTTATATTATAAGCAGTTTCAAGCACATTTGACGTGGTCATCATATAAAGAAAAAAGGGACTAAAGTTATTAATTAGAAAGAATTTTAATGGCTAACATTTGTCAAGAGCTTCCTCTACGTTTTATATGACTTACACATTTAAGTCTCCCAATTATACTATTATTATTTCCTTTTGTAGATGAGGAATTGAGACACAGAGGTTAGCTTGCCAAAACTAACCCAGAGAATAAGGTGAAGTGCGGGATTTGAACCAGGCAGTCTGACTCCAAAGCCAGTGCTCTTAGCCACCACGCAATGCCACCTCTTTGGGTTACATAGCTATTGTGAATCAATTACTGATGATACATGCAGGTCCCCCTGAGTTTATAACAGGATCGTGCTTTCTAATAGTAGGAAATATGCTTGGAATTCATAATCTATTATCAAGGACTCACGTATCTTCAAATTCTATTTATTAATTACTAAGGAGTAGGGTCTAATGAAGCATGAGAAAAATTTCCCTCACAAGAAAAAAAAAGAAATGTAATTCACATTTTCCTAAACATCCTCAATTTGCAGAACTTATCTATTATTAAGTGTTTATTTTTGTTGTTGTTGTTGATTTCAGAGAGGAAGGGAGAGGGAGAGAGATAGAAACATTAACGATGAGAGAGAACCACCGATTGGCTGCCTCCTGCACGACCCCCACCGGGGACCCGCCTCAACCTGGGCATGTGCCCTTGACTGGAATCAAACCAGGACCCTTCAGTCCTCAGGCCGACGCTCTATCCACTGAGCCAAACCAGCTAGGGGTATTATTAAGTCTTTATCCATAATTTATTACACAGATGTTTATGTGGGTCAACGTATGCCCAGCTTGCAAATAGTCAGAGGCTAGCTCTCCTGGGGAAACCACCAATCTGTGCTCAGAAGACACAATGCAGTTTGATTTTATTATTTAAATAAATTAGGTCAGAGGAAGGAAGCAGGCAAAATAGTCTGAGGGCTGGGGAAAATCTTTTTTAATGACTCCTTTTCCAGGTGGAGTTCTGGTTTCACGTCGAGCCTCTGAGTGCCCAACGCCGACCCCCATCCAGCAGGCATGCTGCTGGGCAGCGACTTACATTCCCATCGTGGTTTGGGCAGGAGAGGGGCTTTCCGGCAGCCACTGCGGTGACCGTCTCCAGGATGGAGGACTCCTCAACGTTGCTGCCTGGCGTTCGCTGCAGCACGTCCATCAGGTTCGTGATGAAGAAGTTGTTCTGGAGTGCGGCCACCCCCTTCTCGGGCAGGATGGAGGTCTGGCGGCACACTGGGCAGGAGAGGGTTAAGCTGTGGGCAGGAATATAGTTCTGCAGGCACCTATGGTAGAAGCAGAAGCAGAAGCCAGGGGCTGTCAGCACAGTGGGGCTCAGGGTATGGAACCGCCACTTCTCACAGGTACCACACATGTTCTCAGCAACTACACAGGACACGTTGCAGAAACTGCCTTTGTCACTTCCTTGACTCAGAGAAGAATATTTCAGAAACCCAGAGCTAACCCTGAGAAGCTCATATTGGCCCTGTCCATGAGAAGAATAATGCCATTGACGTTGGCAGTGTTTTCCAGAGCCTTGGTCTGTGGAACGGCAGCACTGCCCTCACCAGGGAGCTTGGGAGAAAAGCAGAACCTTAGGTCTCACTCCAGGCCTAATGCGTCAGACCCCAGGCAATTTGTATACACATTAAGGTTGAGCTGTGTCTACAATAGCTAGTCTGAGGTTCATGGACTTTTACATTTGGGAGAAACATGTCACATTTTTGTTGTTGGTGTTGAAACTCTTTTAATGTCCAAAACCATAAGCAGATCTTTGCTGTTAACACTTGGAGTGGGGGAAACGAGTGACTCCATTGGTTGAGGGCCCTCCCATGCACCAGAAGGTCACAGTTTCAATTCCTGGTCAGGGCACATGCCCGGCTGCAGGCTCGATCCCTAGGAGGCAGCTGATCCACGTTTCTCTCTCCAATTGATGTTTCCCTCTTCCTCTCCCTCTCCTTCCTCTCTCTCCAAAAATCAATAAAAATATTTTCAGAACAACAACAAAACAGCCAAGTGGAAGTGTTCTTTTGAAGCAGGAATGGGATACCCAGGCTCACACTAGCTTGATCTCTTCTTGCCTCTCCTCAACAGGCATCAACTTAATTCATTTAATGAGCGAAATGTATTGCTAATCATAACCAACATATATGCTAACCACTGAATTCAAAGTACTTCCAACAACCCTACGAGGTAGGTACTACTGTGATCACCTTTAGACATATGACAAAATGCAGGCAGAGAGAGGCTGAGTTACTTGCCCGAGGGACTTCGGTGGTCAGGGGCAGAGCAGGAATTCGAACCACGGCAATTTGGTACCAGGATCTAAACTCTAAATAATTACACCGCACAATGTTTTCCAGTTTCTCGGCCAAACAGAATTGGAAAGGCAATGCTTTCACCCATATCCTTATGTTACAGATGAGGAAACGGACATCAAGGAGGTTACGTGGCCTTCCTTACGTCACAGAGGTAGCCGCGGCTGAATCCATACCAGAACGGAAACAGCTTTTGTTAAGGTCACTAATGATATCTACATCCAATAAACACGCTTCAGTCTTTTCTTACTAGATGTCTCAGAAGCATTCATCAAGCTTGACCTCTATGCTCCCCCTCCCACCCCTTTTCTTTGAAACTTCATCTTCCCTTGGCTTATGACACCACACTCAGCTGGCTCTCCTGTCTGCTCTATTTTTCTACTAAGTCAGTACAGTTTGGAGTTAACCCAGACTCCACTGGAAGCACTCTTCTTTCCCGGGGATACTAGACCCACATGCCTGCCTAAAGCATAACACTCCCACGTTTCTATTTCTTCCCACAGGTATCTCCTCTGAGCCCCAGGTCTGTACACCATCCACCTTCTTTACATTTACTCTTAGAGGTCTCACAGGTTCTAAAACTCAACATGTCCCAAACCAAACCCATGATGGCCCCCCAAGCTGTGCCTTCTTCCTATAACAGCACCTCTATCTCAGATAGATGGGCTGGGCTAGACCTAACTGAGAGGCAGGGGGCAGGCTCAGGGCAGAATGGGGCTTCTCACCTGTCGGAACAAGGAAATGGGAACTGAACAACAGACCAGAGGGACTGAACACTGGGGACTGGGGCAGCTCTGCTGGGCTCAGCCGGAGTGGCTCTCAGCGCTGTATAGCAAGAGCCCCGATATGGCAACTGCACCAAATCAAATAACGATCTTACCACGTGAGCCCAGGGACACAGGGGCAGTTAGCTGGTATTCATGTTTTAGCTACACCTATAGAGTGGAGAGGGGAAAAAGTCACTCTCCATTTAGCCATTTTGGAAGATGAATTACAAAGTACTTAAGCCAAAGTATAAAATGAATAAAATAAAAGGTATTTGGTGCCCCATATACCACCACTAAAACAGACAAAAACCCTATATCCACACATTACACACAAAACCCCAAAACAGCCCACAGCAAAGAAAGCAAAGCAAACAAGCAAAACCCATAACTTCCAATAACAAATCCACCTCTCCCTCCATCCATCACCACCACGGATGTGATTATTCTGCTGCAGTTGAGACCCTCCAAAGTAAATCAACTCCAAGCATGCTCAACCAGTTAACAAATCTATGTTCAATTGGATGTAGATGTAATTAGCATTGATTTGAAGCCATTGGAAATACCAATTTTCTATTCTATAACAGAAAGCAAGCATTCTAGTTATGTATATTAAATAATAATAGCAACTGTATTTAACAAGCTGCTATAAAATATAATTACCATATTCATATTTGTTTTTAGGAAAAAATATACAGCCTTGCTAGGGAAATACTTAAATTAGGCCACTAATCTTTATGCTTAATTGCTTATGTGGGAAGTTGGACATGGGGTGAATGAATATTCTGATAAATGATTAACTCAGTGGAAAGAAACACTCAAGAAAGATAAATAAGAAAGTATATTTTACATATAGCAAATTGTATATTCTGATCATGTATAATTACTACATACACAGCTTTTTCCTTCATCTGAAATAGCATAATGTTCAAATGTGCCATTGGTATGTGTCTTCTGAATTATCTTTGGAGGGAGGCTCTCTCCTTTTAACTAGCCCCTCAGATATGCAGATATTTTTACCTGATTGTTATATGGGAGGACATGATAGCTTTTCAATTGTCTCTCACTGAAGACCCTTTGTGAGGGACCTGTGGTTGGCCAAAATTGTTTCACAAAGAACAAAGGGAAAACTTAAATTAAAAAAACACACACCTCCAATAGTTAAAGCTCCATCTCCTGTGGAGATGAATGAACAGCTACTACTAGATCATTATTATTTTTTTGCCCCCCCTTGTAATAAAGTAAATTATTGGCAACTCATGATTATGTTTCTAGATTTATATCAGAGGCACAAAAGATTTATTGTCTCCCCTAGGTAACTGGAGAATTCTGGAAAGAACCCTCGGTAGGAAGTCGGTCTGTGAAACTCCCTTCTCGGCGCACAAAGGAGGCTTACCTCTCGCAGAACGTGTGCAGACAGGGGAGGACCTTGGGGTTCTTGTACCGCTCCAGGCATATACTGCAAATCAGAAACTGCTTGTCAATCTGGCGCACCACAGGGCTTGGGATGTTGGTGGCTTCACTGGCCATCCTAGACCACTGACATGGGGGGCCAGCTGTCTTTGACCCTGCACACTGCTGCTGTCAGACAGAAAAACCAAAAGGGAAAAATAGTTAATAACCTGTCAGCGCAAGTCAATCACTGGTTCATTCACTATGGGCATTGTGTTCTGAATATAGGTAGGATTCCATGTTAGTGACCTCAAAATGACCATAACCATCCCACATGCTATACAGTGAGTATAGGTAGCTGCCTGTTTTGCATATCAGCAAAATAACCACAGGTTCACCAAGCAAACAAAGCAAATTAAAAGAAGGTGCGTTGTACAAAGAGGTATGCTTGCTGGCTTTCGGCACAGTGGCAGATGAGAGGTTAAATACTTACATAGCTGTGCCTGTTCATGCCTTTAGCCATGACTATATTTAAATGTACATTGTCTGTCTTATTATAATAGTCATACAGTCTATATTAAATAGAATAGTCTTATTAAGGTAAAATATGTTTTCTCCAATTATTTTACTTGAAGGGGATCAAAATATGCCACTTTGATGTAAAGATTATTTTGAGCTAAAGGCAATTGAGAAGCAGCAGGCATGGGAGGAGCTCTCTGCTCTTTTCCATCTGCCTAAAAGCAGGTCATAAATTTCCCATTTGTAAAGGTGCCCCACTCTCCCATACCAGGAAGAGGAAAAAACTCAATCACAAACCTTGCAAAACAACCCTTATCTATCATACATTTTCTCATAATTTTTTGCCTTTAGGCATCCAAACAGCCTTTTCCTTTATTTAGTTACTTCTCCACACATTTTTGTTCTTTGTTAAAATAATATATAAGCTCCCAAGTTTAACCACCGTTTTGGGTTTTTGTTTCTTTTCTGTGAAGCCCCCATGCATATAGAATTAAAAGTACTAAGTCAATAAAATATAACACATTTTATTTGGGGTAAATACAATATCCATAAATTTGTACATCTTTTCCTCCTGAAAATCTGCCAGAACATAAGAGTGTAGAGAAAGTTTTTTCTCCCTACTGTTAATATTCAGGATAGGAATAATTACAATTTTATAAAATATGTTTTTATTTATTTCAGAGAGAGAAAGAGAGAGGGAGAAAGAGAAAGAAACATCAATGATGAGAGAGAATCATTGACTGGCTGCCTCTTGCACACCCCTCACTGGGAATTGAGCCCACAACCTGGGCATGTGCCCTGACCAGGAATTGAACCACCGAGCCATGCCGCTGGGCTAAAATTTTTAATTAAAAACTTTCTATGTGCTTCAGAGTGTTTTCCTCAGAACTAAAGGTGTATAGATTTCATACTAAAATGTATTTGCCGTGGATCGGGAACAAAGGCAAGAGCTAGTCCCTATTATTTTTTAAAAATGTCCGTTGCTACTCATGTGTAAGAATTTGAGGGACCTGGTGAAGGGAATGCATTCAGAGGAGGTTTCAATTAGTGAGGGATCGTGCCAAAAATAGAGAATTAGAAGAGGGCAACAGAGAAGCAAGCAGAGGGCCCCTGAGAGAATAAGAGAAGAAAAAGTTATGACATAAAACAGCTCCATTTACCACCTTAAAGAATTTCTGGCTTCTATCCCAAACCAAGGCTGAGCTAAAATTCACTTCCAAATTTTCTAAATATATGGTTAAGATGTCCACAGCCCTTCAATTCCCAATAGAAATTATCTTTGCAAAAAAAAAAAAAGTAGTTAATCTTCATGACCCTAGGCAGGCAGGGTATTCTTCTCATTCTATAAGATTTTAAAAAGTGGGCTCAGCTAAGAAATGTGCCAGGATGCAAACTCAGGTGTGTGCGCGCCTCTAAAACCCTGCCTTTTCACTCCTTACATCACCACCCCTCCCTTGACTGGTGTCTTAAGAAGGCTGCACTATGGAAGCTTGGTTTAGATATAACATGTTAATCTGGTCTGGGACCTGTATTTGAAGCTGGGGAAATATACCATACTTACAGAATCAACCATTCTATATTTTCTGAAGGATGTACTCTTTTCCAAATATAAATGATAGTTCTTCTTCCTCCCCACCAAATCACCAACTTTTTAAAAAGTATGTCAACTTTTATTAAAATTTTATTTATACATATTTGAGTAGTTACATACACGACACACCCACCTTCCAACTCGATACCTTCTAGATAAGTTCAGTAAAGAGCATGATAAACAGATAGAACCTTATGAAAGCACCTGCTATACAAGAGTGTCATGTCCAAACAACTTACTGTATTAGTTAAACCATGTAGGTGTGACATACCTAATTAGCCAACATTACCTGCTAGACTTTCATTGAATGTCTCCCTAAAAATCTAGAGTAGAGAATGATATTTATTGAACGAAATAGAGCTCATCTCTCAGGAGCTCAAAATGTTGGCACATAGTCTGCTTTTCTTTAGCCACATCCCTCTGACATCAGAATAGGGAAGGATTGGATTTGCCTGTCTTTAAGATAAGGAAACCAAAGCTAAGGGTGTAAGTGACTTGCCGAAGGTCATCCAGTAAAATCAGCGAATCAGAAAGCTCAGATTTCAAGTTTTCTGCCTTATCTGGTAAGTCATGATACTTAATCTTAAACAAGTTTAACACTTGACTGTGTGTGTGTGTGAAAGAGAGACAGACATAAAAATTATGTGCTCACTTCAGCAGCACTAAATTTGAAATGATATAGAAGATTAGCATGGCCCTGGAGCAAGGATGACACGCAAATTCTTGATGTGTCCCATATTTTAAAATATATAGAACTTTTCTATTAAAATCAGTTAAAATTCATTTTATTTTGCATAGCTTTTGAAAATTTTCCTAGTACCCTTTGAAATAATCAGTCATGTTGAGTATTAAATAAAGCAGAGAGAAAAACATCATAATTGGATTTTACTTTTTTATTTTAATCCTTAGAACTGTGGATTTGGGGCAAAGAAAAAAAAACATATATTATTTGTTTTAATGATATATGTTGACTAAATGAAATTTCCTGAGCCAAAATTTTTGTTCTCTAAAGCTAAAATAAAAACATTTTATTCTAATTTTATGATCATTACTATAGTGGGTGAGAATCTTTGTTAGCATTGGTAATTTATACGGCAAATTGAGTTTACTCATTAACAGTAATTTAAAATCACAATAATATTACAAATCTGTCACAAGTGACCTGTTGAAGGCATCTGGATTTTTAGGACTCCCAGAATCAGCACAAAAGGTTTCCAACCCCCAAAACAGAGACTTTATCAGGAACCATCATTCCTTCAATATAAATGGATACCCACAAAAGGAAGACAAATTTAACTGCTCCTACAGGGATAATGTGCTTAGAAAAATGTACCAATAAATACCCTGGGAAGCCTTCCATCAGTCTGAGTATGCCTCCAGGAATATATGACAGCCTTTAATCAAAGTGTTTGGGCATAACCACAGTTTCTGATCTCCTTGATTAGAAAGGCAATAAATTCTTATCTAGATTCTCAGTGGATCTTATTTCCCCATCTCGGTTTCTGAAGTGTCAAAGATCTTGACTCATATAGCCAGCAGAAACAAGTGAGTGATAAGAATGAGATGACGCTATAGGAGTATTCTTCTGGAGATCAGCAAAACTCATTTCTGGAGCGACACATGAAAACACGCCTGGGGTGGACTTTGTCTCGGAAGAATATCAGATGCTTTGGATGCAGAAACTATCACCAGACACACTGATAAAAGGAAATGGTAGAGAGCTACAGACAGGAAGAGCCATTGTAAAACTACTTAAATAGCCAACATGGATATGATATTGGCGTTAAGCAGCTATGAGAACTTTTATGTGGGGAGACTAACTAAGGTTTCTGGCCCATGGCAGACCAAGAGCAATACTGCTTAGGGAGAGGTTCACTCCCCCTCTCCAGCTTTGCTCGATATCACCTTCTCAATCTGAGCATTGTTTAAAATTGAAACTTGTCCTCAACTCCCTAGCATTTGCTACACCCATCCTTGCTCTGTTTTTCCCATAGTATTGGAAACTTTCTAATATAACTATGTAATGGGTTCATTTTGCATGTTGTCTCCTCCCACACCCCACTAAGATGGTGTAGCATTCTTAAGGGATTTTGTTTTCTGATTGCTCACTGCAGTAATCCCAGCTCTAGTACAGTGCCTGGAAGTCATGCATTATATTTTGAATTAACTGAACAAATGAAGTATAACATGGACATGGACTCAGTCCCAATAGCAGGTAAGAGGGGCACTTGCTGAATGAGTGATCAAGAGCAAGGTCATTACCAGCCATGTGAATGTCTTCACTTGATATCACACAGTACCTGCCTTTCCATGTGGTAATCGAATGCTTAGCAACATAAGCCACCATCCAGAAGGTATACATTTAGTGACATATTTTAACACACTCACAAATGCAGGAAAAGAAATTGAGAACTGTGGAAGACACATATGCATGGAAAGTAAAAGTCTAAGAGGGTTGACACATACATTCCTTATCAGTGGGGGCTTGCCAACTAAACACTGCTTGTTTCAGGTAAAAACAATGCAACAATCACATCACAAAGTCCTTGGGCAGAGAAAAGTCCCACCCCAGCATTTCTTTCCTCTCATCATCGCTGGCATTTTTCCTGGCTCACTTTCGCAAATCTACAACTTGGTGGGAATTACAACCAAATGGAAAAGGAGAACTTGATAGGAGATGATGACATGAAAGAAAAATGCCTGTGCCCACAATTCTATGGTTGTGACCATATTTCCCACCTCAAATTATAGCATGTAGATCAGAACACTATCCAACTCCTATTGCTGATACCACTGTGAGAAAGATCAGGAAGGGAGGGTGGAAGAGAAAAGCCAAACTGAAAAGCACTCTTCTCGAAAAGGGGAGAGAGTTGGTGAAAACTTGTCTGGATGGTCTCAGAAACATGGCTGGGAAGCAGGTCAGGATTCGTTTGGGAAATAATATCTTAACATGTGACTTGTGACTAAGAGGCAGCAAGCATATCTGATTGCACGTCATCCTACAGGCACTGGCTTCCATGTCTGTTGCTTAATTTTATGGCATTCCTGGGTTGCTCCTCCTCTTTGTTGCCACTTAGCT